TAAAAATGTGCTAGGCCAGGCGTAGCAAATTGTTGTTGAATCATGAATCCTAGTTAGTGTTGTATGATGACCTCGCTGATACGGCTAAATGAATTCCATCTCGCCTGTCTCAATTCCTCAGCCCTATATATTTATATTCCTTAAAATGAATTTGGAAAATATTACTAGAAGACGTAACTAAACATACATTTAACATAACACAACACAGTGCCATAAAGCAGTGAAAAAAAATCTGCCTTCACATGAAATAGATCGTCATACTACATTTGACATTTACTGTAGCTGGATCACTCGTATCATCTCCAATAGCATTGGTAGCATAACACGTGTAAATACCGTAGTCACTTCTCACACTATTACTAATAGTCAATGACCCGCCATTAAGAATGTATCTACCAATTATGATGATATCAGCACTGTCTTTCTTCCATGTATATGTAATAGTAGTAGGTTTGCCAGTTGCTGAACATTGTAATGTTACGCTATTACCTTCAGTTACTGTTCTGTCTGACGGTGAAGTATTGATAGTTGCTGGAACTGCAGAGACAAAATCGAAACCGTTCAAACACCAATTTTGAAAGATACTGTTCTTCTAGACAGTCACCTACATTGGCAAATTAACAGTGCTTCCGAATTAAGTCTCAAGCTGAAGAATCAATTTAAATATATACGGAGCATTTGATAATACAGATTTGTGTCTAGGAAATCAATACACAATACAATGTATTTTTTTTTAAAAAAAACGTCGGATTACATTTGTCAGTTTCTTTTTCCGGTGTCGCAGTTTTGCCGGTGATAGGGTTCATTTATCAACCTTACACCGATTTGCCCTCAGCTTGTATTATACTACCATTTCATAAAATAATCGCAATATACAGTACTTACAATGTACAGTAACTGTGGCTGATGCACTATGTGGTTGTCCTACACCATTACTAGCATAACATGTATATATACCATCATCTTCTCTTACAATATTACTAATAGTCAATGATCCACCATTCAGACTATATCTACCACTGATATTGATATTAGCACTGTCTTTCTTCCATGCATATGTAATAGTAGTAGGTTTGCCAGTAGCTGTACATTGTAATGTTACTGAATTTGTGCCTTCAGCCACAGTTTGGTCTGATGGGAACGTATGTATGGTTGGCGGAACTGTAATGTAATATATAACAATTAATTTGTTAAAATCCTATATTTAATATACATTCTGCTACGCTATAGTTGGTGTAGTAAGTTTTCAAAATTAATAATATCAATTATAGAAATGACCAATGACGTAATTCATATATTTTTGTGTGTAGTGAAGCTCGGCATGTGCAAATTCAATTCAAGCTACTGCTAAATTGCAAAATTTGATTGAGTCTATATTAATCTGAATAACTTGAACTTCAAGTTGAATTAAATGCTAACGACGAGGGGCATGTAGATTCGTACAGGTGATACGAAAACATTGTATGGTTGTCAATTTTCTGCAAAACATATTCAATAATATCTACTGTGAGTTATTAAAGGTTAAATATATTAGATTAGACAAAACTAAAGACTTCTTTATGATATGTCCACTAAACATCTGACCAAGAGAAAAAGTGTAACATGTAGACGTCAAGATATGTAACGGTACCCGAGAGAACAGTCTGCATACTTCGATACGATTGGCTCAATATATATCTAAACCTAGAAAATGCTAAATGTGTTTTTTTGGAAATTGAATATGTAATGTCAGTTTTTGAAAACATGTTCTTAACTAGAATATCATTTTCAAAATGAAATCGCACGAAACTGTTGCCATGGAAATTTCTAATGTAAACAAGACGTTGTCTTGATGACCCTATTTTAAGCGTTGCTTCCTATTATTATTATTATTATTATTATTATTATTATTATTATTA